GAATGAGATGTATTCACCCAATTTTGTTTAAGTTGATGAAGGATTGGTAGAAGAAGAATTTTCCCACAATGATATGAGCAGAGCTGACCGAGGTCGAAACTTCAGTCCACTGGTGCCTGGATGAGAACAACTTTTGGGAGAGCAAGGCTATGTGAAATTCAATGAAAACGTCAGCTCAACTCATATCATTGTGGAAAAATTCTTCTTCTACCAGTCCTTATTCACCTTAAACGAAATTGGGTGAATACATCTCATATTAATTTCATCTAATTAGAGGACCCTTCTAAAGTAGTTAATGTTTTAATAAATGCCAACGCCTCTTTTAGGAAACGATAAAGTCCATTTATTCGGTATAAATAGGCTTCGAGACAATCGGTAATTCGGGAGAAAGAACTTCGTCATTCTAGACGGGATTTAAACGACAGAAGAGCCTGAAGAAAAACGAATTAAAAAGTGAAATTAACTTAAATCATTAGTCCTACACATTTTATTTAGGAAAAAATGCCACTATTAGTCCTTAAAATTGTCCAAAGTGATTTAGAATAACTAATCTCTATTGAAAATCCTTCTGTCGCCAGCGTTCTTCATAATTCAGGCCTCATATCTTAATCTAACAGTATTGGCAATGCGAATGTTTGTATTAAAAGTGTGGTAACATTAAATGTTTCACCGTTCAAGGCCGAAAGTAACAGAGATGATCTGTGAGTCTAGGGCTCCCTCTTTTGGTTGTTTCCGGACAAACTATCGTTAAGTTCAGGTTGGCCTCCAGTCAGCATTTGCTATCCGTGCTTATAGCATTTGCAAGTGAGCCATCAGCCAAAATCTTGGCGCCAAAAACGGTTTCTTTCGCATCTTTGTGACTAGATAGACAAAAGTACAGCTAAATTGTTGCTATCAACTAAATTATAGTTCGCAAAATGGACACCATTATAATGGGATTATGATATATTTGTGTTGGCAGCAAATCTTCTAGCTGAAACGTTCATATCATGTGCTTAAATATTAACATATCCGTTGTATCAGAACTTCTGTTTAAGGCCAAAAGTATTATGCATCAGAAGTATAGATTACAGAATATAAAGAAAAGCATATAGGGTGTTACAAAGAGGAATATTATTGGAAGCAGAATTGAAGTTCATTCAAGGAAGTTTACTCTTCACAACTATTTAGTATGACATCCCAAAGGTTGTGATTATTGCTATCCTGCTTTGATCTATATCGAATGTTATTGCCATCACAACTTATGGTGATGTTAAGGCACCAAAGTGCTCATTTGGGTTCGGTCACTCTACAAATGCAATCGATTTAAAAAGCTATGGTACTAATTATTGATAAAATATCAAAGGACTGGTAGAAAATGCAAATAGCCGCCTGTTAACAATGAAAATACAGAAGAGAGAAATTTGCTTTTATATTATCTTATATGGATGAAAAATAAGTGTTTAAAAATTCTAATATTAGCAGTATTGGAGAAGAGAGTCCAAATCCAAGATTGATCACCCTACTTGTTGTCCTCGTGATCCAAACTGAACACTCTCAATATGGTGAGGATATCGGCCTAAATGGAGTACCAACATGCCTAATGTTGCAATCAAAGATGAAATCACAAAAGAATGTTTCAAATCCTATTAAGCCATAACGCATACATGCTTGCATTGGGAGCCTGACGAAGAGAACTTGATCGAGAAAAAAACAAGCAAAAATAATCCCAAATATCCAAAAATGCGAAATAGAGATCAACCTAAATTTCAGATTTTATTGAAAATCTTATAACAGAAGCATAGCTTCAAGGAACTATACAAAGTTTTATTCGGAATAAAAAAAGTGAGAATAAGGTGTCCGACGACTAGTGAAGACCCCTTACCAAAATGTGCACTGCTTACTAAGAAGAAAAATACAATAACAGGAATAATGAGTCCTCTTAACACAGATTAATGGTTGGTATGTCTTCATTGATGTGCACTAATTGGTATAAATTGGGCACATATTTGACAAAAGCAGACAACCCAATAAACAATTTGGTCGTGAGAATCCACTATACCTCTTCCACTGAGTCGGTATCATCTCGGTCAGCAACATGTGCATCTAGACAACTGTGAAGTAAGAGTATCTGTCGAAAGGATCCAAAATGGAAGTGAAACAAAGCATCGACTAGCAATGGGGTACAGGTCACCTGCACCAGATAAGAACGAGCACCGAAAAAAAGAAATGTGGCTAAATAAGAAAGCAATGGATAGAGCACAATAGACATGTACAATGAAGAATCAGCGGTTGCGTTCATGCAGTCATGTGTTTGCAATTCTTTATGTATGTATATGTGTATGTGTGCCTATGCATCAACTTGCTTACGCATAGCCGCACTTTCCTGGATAGCATTGACGTTTGCATATATCCGCATGTATGGGCGTGCGCATGTGAAATTATGATAATGAAATTCGAGTGATGATGAACAATTTCAAGAGAACAGCAAAATGTAAAAATATAAATTGACATGGAAGCCTATGCTGTTAGAGGCCATTACTGCTCTAGTGACAATGGTATTGGCTATAGAAAAAGAAAAAGACCAAAAGATATAGCTGATAGAGTATGGTAATATTTATGAAAATGTGGAAAAAAAAAGATGTAAAATGAGACGTGAAATGATGAAGAGTGAGATAAAAAAAACTCAAAAGAGAAAAGGAATCGAACGATAAGTGGAGCTAGAAAGGCATAACTGATACGACAAAGCCCACAGAAAGGAATGTAGCAAGACATTCAAACGGTAAAACATGAGATAAATTAAGGGAAATTGTAACGGCAAAAAAATTATAAAAGTTAAGAGTGAAAATAGCATGCGCCAATAGGACTAGATTGTCTGGCATTAAGTTATGCGTGAACGTTGATAGGCTTGACTTTCTGGTGCAGACCCATTCACGAGACCCTTCGGGACGGTTGTCGATTTTGTCGGTTGCATGTGCATGTCAGTATCTGCGTGTGCATACGCCTCCTTGAAATGTTGCCTCTTTACAGAAGCAAGACAGCATCTGCCCCCATGAAGGTCATCATCATTGTCATCAGAGTCAGAGAGACCATCGTCATCAGGACCACCAATGGTGAATGTGGATCGTAATTCTGGTGATTTTCGGCTGCCCACACGACCGAGATGAGATGAACACCCGGTATGGTGTGAACGACAAGTGTGCCGGGAGCGAGGTGAGTGCGAGAATGAGGAATAGAGCTCTTCCTGACTCTCTTCGGCGTCTGAAATTTCACTGTCACTACGTTCATCACGTGTCTGCAAATGCCAAACACAAAAGAAAAAAGAGAGAAAAGCAACATATAATGAGTTGGTTTTGAGTTGAAGCTGCAAAAGTTGGAGTTGGCAAATATAGCCTTCAACTGTAACGATCCGTTCTGAGTCCCTCTACAAATTCTGTTGTGCACAGAATTCTGATGGAAGAGGAGCAAAAATCACCTGCTCACCAACGCCATTGGAAGTGACAAGTTAAGATAAGAGATTGTCAGCATTTCTATGGATCAATGAATGAAAGGGGATTTACTAAAGAAGGAAATGCTATGAAGACGGATGAATACAATGAGGAAAGAGTGTGAACTTGCGCTGAGTTGGATTCGTGCAGGATTAGAGCAAAATGTTGCTTTTGCTATAGTTCTGATGAACACCTCGTAAGGAAGATTTGATAGTGAATCAACCGATCTTAAGGATTAAAATAGCATCATTGGAGTGCAATTTAGCGAATAGACACATTTGCGTTTTGTTGATTTCGGTAGCCCGGCTGGTAGGCGCAAAATAAACAAAACCAAAAGACGAGAATGAGGGTAGGCTTAGTCAGGACTACCTATGCTTAATTGATAGACTTAGAATAAGAGAGAGTTTAGCCATTTTCGAGAATTCGGTGACTCAATTACTCTCTTTGGCTCAAAATATGTTCATGCTGCCTACGCATTCATTTCACACAGAAAGCTGATCAACAAACCCAAGAGTGTTCTGATATACTCTGTAAAAAGGATGCAATTATAATACTAAAATGGAGCCCTTAATCTTCAAAATAACGCTGGGGCTTTGTACTCACACAAACACACACACACACACACATACATACACATACATACATACATACATACATACATACATACATACATACATACATACATACATACAT